ARGRWTTYSKTTKRRKTKKKKTTKSMARKTYSSCYTTACTTTACGAAGGACTTTTTTCACATACAGGATTATAGAAACAAAAGAAGAAAACAATAGGAATGATCTCCATATTTTAAGGTTGAAAGGTGCCGTAGAACATGGGAACGAAGAAAAAAAACTAAAAAATCCTACAGTATCTACAGAACAATCGCGTTCGCACCCGAAAGATAAAATTAAAACAGGTGCGAAGGAAACGAAGACAAAACTCCCATTTCGAACCACAGGCATCCCATGCAATCGATCAAATTCACTAGAGTGTACGAAAATAAATAATTCCGTCTGAAGCTAAATTTGGGTAAAAAGACTAATAACAGGAGTTCAACTTATTGTACTACATTATTAAACTACAATTGTTGTACTCTBACGTCATTGTACGCGGTACAATGAACCGACTRCTCGGCTTTTCCTTATCGCTTATTAGATCTCTGACTTCTGTGGATTTTTYGTTTGCGGTGACGTACAGTAGTACCAAAAATAGTATGCCTGGAGATGAAATTTGTCTTAACAGTTGCCTTAATSCCCCCTYGGCACTACYATRGACACTATGACATGAGCTCGGTTGAGTRGAATTAAAGATAGCTTCCAAATGGAACGGCAAGTCAGCGCCAGCGCGCTGGTTACTCCTTCAAATATTCTAGCAATGTTTTCATTAGTTACTAGTATAAAACACACGCAGTCAAAAAAGCCGGGATAGATTCCATAAATATCTAAACAACGGCCGAAGCATGTGTGTGATTTTTGGCAAGGATTTTGAATTGGCCAGCTTGTTTGGACTGAGACCAAGTGACATCATGCTGCTGGGATCGCTCGGTCCAAGTGCAATAGTAATGTACTTACATCAAAAATCGATTTAATTGCCTTAARTCTTTATACTTCCTATTTTTCAACACTTAGCTCATTTTTTATTCAATTTCTTGCGTGGMGGCTCAACATAATTTTAAGGATTATTAGCTGGTGACCATTTCAAACGAGCAGTATTACTTCACAACATGTCACAAGTCTTTTAAGAGTATAGTTGCGTTTCCCCTAAAGACAAATCGCACTAATGAAAGCGAAGTTACGTACGTTACGGCCAATAATTCCATGTTTAATCTTCATGTTATAGACACAAATAACACTTCTAGAAATGGTACTTGTTCGGCTCGTCATGCCTGAGGGCAAAACAACACTTCAGTCAGTATAGTCTGAAGAGTAAATAACAAGCAAAAATATCAAAAATAGMTCAGTAGTGATTTTACGTCGACTTCCGCCATGTTTTTTTTCACCCCCGGATTAACAATTTCCCGGCGGATAATTTGTCGAGAAGGCTTTAGAGATAAACTGATGATTTCTAGAGCCGCTAGGAGCAGCTATTTGTGGTAGATTAATTATATAATAGTATGCGCATGTTCCATTCAGAAAGAGCTCTGTTCAATATTTAATGCACTTCAGCCAGTTACTCGAGTTTGCATATGAAACTGACGTCCCGAAACTCGTTTATCAAATAGACATAAAATGTACAAAACGAAACAACTTCGTCCCGAGTGTTACTAAGTYTATGGTACAAGAGATTCGTATCACTTTCCCGATTGTTTTATGCCRWTKKTTYCYKRWT